TCCAATACTTTGGCCATCTCATGAGAAGACTCCCTGGAAAAGACCCTGATACTAGGAAAGTGTGAAAGCAGGAGGAGAAGGGGACGGTAGAGGACGAGATGGTTGGACAGGGTCATCGAAGCTACCAACATGAATTTGACCGAACTCCGGGAGGCAGTGGAAAACAGGAGGGCCTGGTGTGCTCCGGTCCATGGGGTCATGAAGAGTTGGACACGGCTTAACAACTAAACAACAAATACTGATTTGGAGACTATACTTCTGTTAATGCATCCTAAAATTGCATTTGTCTTTTTTGCAGGCACACTGCTCTGTTGGCTGAAATTCAGCTTGATCTACAGTTCCAAGATCATTCTTACTCATAGTATTACTAAATCTCCCATCTTGTAACTGTATTTTTGTTTTTACCCAGGTGTAGAACTTTGCACTTATCCCTGTTAAATTTCATGTTGCCCAATGCTTGAACCTATGAAGGTCTTTTTGAATTTTGCTTGTCTTCCAGGATATGAGCTATTTCACCCAATTTTGTGTTATCTGCAAATCTGATAAGCACTCCCTAAATTCCCTCATCCAAATCATTAATTAAAATGTTGAAGAGCACTGGGCCCAGGACTGAGCCTTGTAGTACCCCACGTTACCTCCTCCCAGTTTGAGAAGGAGCCATTGATAAGCACTGATGATGTTGTTGCCTGTGAGGGACAAGCCAACTGAGCCCCCAATCCACCCACCAAGCTGCACCATAGTAGTCAGCCAGGTTCTATTGCCCTATGAGGCAGAAAACAACAGATTATTTACTACAGTTGTCCCATGTTTCCCAATGCCTGGGCCAGACCTCTGCAATACTGATGTAATTGTTGTGCTCCAAAACCCATTTTTTGTCATGAGATGTCAGAGTTGTATGATCTAAAACATTTCATAAAAGGAAAACTAAGTAAGATTGCCATCTTGAAAGGCAGCTAAGCAATGCATTCAATGTACAGTCCAAGATCCTAATGGGTTTTAGTGCCTACGTAAGGGCACTCAGATGAGGAAAGCTTGCATTTTGCAGGCTATTTCTTACGCCAACCAACTGAACACATACCACTTGCAGGGTGGTCCTTATGTGCTCTTTGGCCCTCAAAAGATAGTAGTCATATTTTTTTAAAATCACTTTCCAGAGTTGGAGGAACAGAAGAAACACTAAACAAGTTTCATTTGTATCTCTTCATTCCACTTCTTTTCTGGCTTGGTGGTTTGTTTGTTTTTTGAGCTATCGTTCATTTGCATCACAACTAGTGAAAATAGATTTTTAAGATCGAACAAATGGGCAGGGGAGTATCAAGCCTGTTTATGAATTTAAAAATAAAATCATAAACGGGACAGAATAAACCATCAAATCTGGACTAAAATTGGCTCCTAGTTCTTATAATTCCTTATCCGACTGACTCCTGCATGAATACTTGAGTCTAGATAGAGTGGTTCACAGCCTTGGATCCCCAGATGTGCTTGGACTAAAACTCCCAGAAGCCTGCACCACTAGCAGTTTTCTGGGAGAATCTGGCCAGAATTGCATCACAACTGGTGAAAATAGATTTTTAAAATCAAACAAATGGGCAGGGGAGTATCAGTTTATGAATTTAAGAATAAAATCATAAACAGGACAGAATAAACCATCAAATCTGGACTAAAATTGGCTCCTAGTTCTTGTAATTCCTTATCCGACTGACTCCTGCATGAATACTTGAGTCTAGATAGAGTGGTTCACAGCCTTGGATCCCCAGATGTGCTTGGACTAAAACTCCCAGAAGCCTGCACCACTAGCAGTTTTCTGGGAGAATCTGGCCAGAATTTCTGGGTGTTGTAGTCCAACAACATCTGGGGACCCAAGATTGGGAACCACAGGTAGAAACATAGTTGTTTCAATCTACAGTCAAGGTCATTTCAGTTATCCCAGTAGAGTAGGTTAATATTTAAGGTAGTTAATGAAAGCTAACAATTCTACACACACCTAAAAGCATTGGGGGACAAATTGCACTTCCAGAGTGAGTATAATAATAGAAAAGCCTGTTTTCTT